AACTTGGATTCCAATGTCCATTGGAACATGGGTTGAGAATGGAGATCTCCCATGCCCAAGTGCCCCAGTTAGGACTCAAGAAGCCTGGTTTGGTTCGGTTTGGTTTCTTTTCAGATTCCTCTCAGTTGTGTTTTCTGACATCAGTGCTGACTTTTGGATCCATCTAACAGTCAATGATTTGGTTTGACTGCTGGCGTAATCTCTGCCGAATAAACAGTTGCCAGATAGAAGATTTCACTTCCTTATATATATATATATATCTCTTAAAATTGTTTTACATGTATGTAATTCGTCTTATAAAATTAACTAAATATTTTAAAAAAATAATATAAAAATAAAATTTGAAGTTGTAATCTGAATTCTCTCTCCCTGATAAATATATATATAAGAATAAGTGGTTATTCACTTATCTCTTAAAAATTAAAAAGATTATCACTTTAAAACTACATAATTTTAATAAAATATTATAAAAAAAAGATAAAAAATATTTTAATTTATAATTTAAAAATAAAGTGTTTCATTGTTTTTTAATGAAAATTTATTGAAACAACATAATTTTAAGATGAGTTTTCTTATAATCTTTAGAGGTATGAGAGATAGGTACTATTCTTATATATATATGGGTGGTGCTATAAGAATAATCTTTTTACTTCACTTTTTTATATAATTTTCATATATCATTAAATGAGTAAATACATTTAATATCACAAATTTTATATGAATTAAAAAAATTAATCATTTTAATAACATATCATATTATATAAAAATATAAAATAAAAAAATTATACAAAAATCATTTCCATGTATATATATATATAGAGATTTCTATTTTACAGGACATGTTATATGCAGTCCGCCCAAGCACCACCCATATATATATATTGAAATAGTACCTATCTGTCATACCTTTAAAGATTAGAAGAAAATTCACCTTAAAATTATATCGTTTCAATAAATTCTCGTTAAAAAGACTGAAATACTTTATTTTTAAAATATGAATTAAAGTATTTTTTATATATTTTTTATAATATTTTATTATAATTATGTAATTTTGAGATGATAATCCTCTTAATTTTTAAGAAATAAGCGAATAACCACTTATCTATATATGTATATATTTATCAGCGAAAGAGAATTCAAATTACAACTTCAAAATTGAAAGTATATTTTACGATGAAATATATGATTATTAGTGCACATAGTCACATAGTCCAGATGCGATTTCACTTCCTTATGTCCAGATGCGATTTCACTTCCTTATGTATGGTAGATCTCCATACAGTAGATAATCCCCTCTTTAGATTTTCCCTTTTTTTTAATTTATATCCCGGCAACTTGACTTGGACCATGGTAATTTTGTAACAGAACGACATTCTGTCCAGGTTCAATGCATCTAGTTACTTTAGTTCTGTTATTCCCACGCGCTCCCAAGCACTCGGGTCAACAAGCGCTGTCGTTTTCCTAATCCAATGTCGCGTATCGCGGTTGTGGGGGCGTCGCGTGGGTGACACTGAATTCACATGACGTGAACGTCCCGGTTTATTAAAGAGGTCTCGTGTCAGACACGTGACGGCGCAGTTTAGCAAGAACGGATAAAAAAGTAAAAAACGGCCGATAGTAGCGAACTCTCCCTCTTCTTCTTCTTCTCTCTCTTCATCACACAAATAAAAATCCATTTTAAACTCTGCTTCTTCTTCGCCTGCGACTTTTCTCTATTTCAAAAAGAAAATATAAAAAAGGCATAAACCCTAGCTGAGAATCTAGGGTTTGCATTCGATTATCTTCAGCCATGACGACGCCTTACGGAGCTGCAACCAGCACTGTTATACGAAGTGATCCAAAGATTCAAGTCCACAACTTTATCGGCTTGAAAGCTTCGCATTCTCTCGCTTTCAACAAAAATTCAGCCCCTTTTCTGCTTCGAAAATCAAGGCCACCGGTTATTCGAGCTGTTTCCACGGTCAGACTCTCCCCCCCTCCCCCTCTCTCTTGTATGGTTTGCCGTTTTTTTTTTTTACCCGTTGATTCATAGATGTTTAATTTCTGCGGGAATAAATAATACTCTCTGCCAATTTTAGTTTCTGAAATTTTCGAAGAAAAGGAAAGAAATGTGTATGAAAGGGTGAAAAACTTCTTAAAAGTTTGAAACTTTTTGCCTGTAAATTAAACTTTTCATGACTGAATAACTTGATTCCTGGGAAACTTACAGCAAGGTCAATAATGTTCCTCCTGTTATTAAAATGCACTCTTTTGTTTATATGATATGAATGGAATGCTTCAATTAGTCATGCAGCTGATCAAAATACCTAGAGATAACTTATAAGGCCAAATTACAAACCATTTATCTCAAGTCACTTGTTTAATGTCTTTGCAGCCAACGAAGACTGACACTGCAACCGAAACTAAGCGTAGCAAGGTTGAAATAATCAAAGAAGGAAGCAATTACATAAGATACCCTCTTAATGAGGAGCTGTTGACAGATGCTCCTAATATAAATGAGGCTGCCACCCAGCTTATTAAGTTCCATGGAAGTTACCAACAGTATAATAGAGATGAGCGTGGTGCCAGGTCTTATTCGTTTATGCTTCGGACTAAGAATCCATGTGGGAAAGTCTCGAACGAACTTTACTTGACTATGGATGATCTTGCTGATCAGTTTGGGATTGGAACACTTCGCTTGACCACGAGACAAACATTTCAGCTCCACGGTGTGCTGAAGAAGGACCTTAAAACGGTGATGAGCAGTATTATTAGAAGTATGGGTTCAACTCTTGGTGCTTGTGGTGATCTCAACAGGAATGTCCTTGCTCCTGCAGCTCCTATTGCAAGAAAAGATTACCTATTTGCACAGGAAACAGCAGAGAATATTGCTGCACTTCTAACTCCTCAGTCAGGTTTTTATTATGACATGTGGGTGGATGGAGAGAAAATCTTGACAGCAGAACCTCCAGAAGTAGTGAAGGCTCGCAATGATAATTCTCATGGAACAAATTTCCCTGATTCACCCGAGCTCATCTATGGAACTCAGTTCTTGCCAAGGAAGTTCAAAATTGCTGTCACTGTGCCAGGAGATAACTCAGTGGATGTTCTGACAAATGATATTGGTGTTGTTGTTGTTTCCGATGAGAATGGGGAGCCTCAGGGATTTAACATATATGTAAGAAAACATATGATCTAAATAATTTTTTCTTTTTTTTTTTCTTGTCTGCTTTCTCATCTTACAATCATCAATTAATGGACTCTATTGCAGGTTGGTGGTGGTATGGGAAGAACACATAGGTTGGAGACAACTTTCCCTCGTTTGGCAGAACCTTTGGGTTATGTGCCAAAGGATGACATTTTATATGCTGTCAAAGCCATAGTTGTTACACAACGAGAAAATGGGAGAAGAGATGATCGCAAATATAGTAGGATGAAATATTTGATAAGTTCCTGGGGGATTGAAAAGTTTAGAAGTGTAGTTGAGCAATATTATGGAAAGAAATTTGAGCCTTTCCGTGAGTTGCCTGAGTGGGAATTTAAGAGTTACTTGGGTTGGCATGAACAGGTTTGTCTTGCTAATTTGGAGATATTATCTGCAATCTCTTTGGTTTGAACTTACCTGTCACATGTTTTCTTTCAAATTGCTGTGTGTGTATAATTTTCATTTAGTCTAATGCTTGCTTTTTCATATAATCCATTTTCTTTCCTGACTGCTTAGAAACTTTTGGCAGGGAGATGGCAATTTATATTGTGGGCTCCATGTAGATAATGGCCGAATTGGAGGGGAAATGAAGAAGACACTGAGAGAAGTAATAGAAAAGTATAATCTGAATGTTCGTATCACCCCAAATCAGAACCTTATCCTGTGCAACATTCGCAGTGCGTGGAAGCGTAACATTACCACAGCTCTTGCACAGGCTGGTCTGCTGGTAAGACATTGTTCAGAACAGAAATCTATATTTTCTTTAACGGTATTTCTTGATTTTCATATGCTAATCATGTGGATCTCATAGAATTTACAAAGTCATTTTACAATTTCATGTTGTCATGTAATTTGTTGTAAGCTGTAACTACTTCTCCAGGAGTAAATGTTTATTCAGTTATGTTTTGCTTGCTTCATGTTATTCATCTCAACTCCGTTAAGCTGTTTATGGGTGTCTTTAGACTTCAAATCTTACAGCTTGACTAATCAGCTCTGGATTTGGGGCAGCTTCCTAGATATGTGGATCCCCTAAACATAACTGCTATGGCTTGCCCGGCTTTCCCTCTTTGCCCATTGGCAATAACTGAGGCTGAACGTGGAATACCTGGAATCCTTAAGCGTGTTCGAGCTGTATTGGAGAAGGTATCTTATGGAACACAGACTTAGAAAATTGACAGAGAATTTGTTTAGGTTGGATGGTGTATTTTGTGTGATTTGGGATTGTAACTATCACTAATGGTGGGCAAACTCTCCATGGTTTCAGGTTGGTCTCAAGTACAATGAATCTGTGGTAATAAGGGTGACTGGATGCCCTAATGGTTGCGCTAGGCCTTACATGGCTGAACTTGGACTGGTTGGTGATGGTCCCAACAGCTATCAGGTACTTTAAGGCCCGATATGATTTGTTTCTATTGGCATAAATCTGCATAACAACAATTTTATTCTTTTGAAACTAGATTTGGCTTGGGGGAAGACCTAACCAAACCCAACTTGCAAGAAGTTTTATGGATAAAGTCAAGGTTCAGGACCTTGAAAACGTTTTGGAACCCTTGTTTTATAATTGGAAACGAAAAAGACAATCCAAAGAATCATTTGGCGACTTCACTACCCGCATGGTAAGTCCTCAAACCAGTCTCATTTATAAACCTCTTTGGGCATTAGTGGGGAAAAATTCTGTTAACACTGGAAGAATCTTTTCATCAACACAAAAATTCATATCCTAGCAATTGATGGAATCTGTGTTAATGCGTCAGGGATTTGACAAACTAAAAGAGTTGGTGGAAAAATGGGAAGGTCCAGTGGTCGGACCATCAAGGTACAACCTGAAACTCTTTGCTGATAGAGAAACATATGAAGCCATGGATGAACTAGCAAAGTTGCAGAACAAGAATGCTCATCAGCTGGCAATAGAAGTCATTCGCAATTTTGTTGCTGCCCAGCAAAATGGCAAAAGTGAATGAATGAACTATTGAAGTCATTTAAAATCTTGTAGAGGGATTCGCTCTCCCTCCCTTTGTCTACAGGCTGTTACCATTCGGTAACACATCTGAAACAGATAAAGGATTGGTTTTGAAACGAGTTTGTGCAAGGATTTTCAGTGTTTTTTACCTGATTCGAATTTTGTACCAATAAATGTGAGAATGTGAGCTCCTGTTCTATCTTCTCAGTTCTTGAGGAATGCTTTTCATAATTTGTTTTTGCCCCAACGAATCGAGCTCTTTGGCCAAAAAATTAAAAATGGGCTTATCCATTCTAGTTACTTTTATTATAGAAGTATATGTTTGGTTTAAGGAAAGTGAAAGGAAAGGAGGGGAACGAAAGAATACGACATCCTTTTTCACTTTACCTCCCTTTTTCTCCCCTCTTCTCAAAATAGAAGATTTTTATCCTTCCCCTCAAAATCTCAAATTAATTTTTTTTACCCTCCCTCAAACCAAGGGTACTATAACCATAATACCAGTTCACTGGAGTTTTGCATATCTAAGTAAAAATATAGATTGAAATGGAGTTTAAAAGAAAAGAAGAGAAAATGTTACTGGGATTTTCCAATTGAGAGATGCAAGTTTTATATGTTACTCAGATCAATTAACATTAAATTAAGAACCTTGGGATTTCTCACTTGTGACAGACACGAGCTGTTGGCATTGTGACACAAATAGGAGCATACTTCTTCTTAGTTTCTGCGGTACCGGCCTTTGGCTCCTCACCAGCCATGGCAAGTTTGGCAATGGAAAAGGCAGCAGCAGCAGCAGCAGCAGCTGCAAATATCAACTCTCTCCTACCATTGCTCTCTTCCCTCATCTCAACATTCTTCAGTTCCAAACTGGCCTTCTCACTCGAAGCCTTGACAACAACGACCCCTTGGCGGGCCTTGTGGAAAGAGACTTGGTAAGACCGTCAGAGTTGAGCTTGAGTTCGGCAAGAGCGAGGCTGTCATGGTAATTGAAGCCATGTCTGCAAATTCTGGAACTCTGCTCTTTGCTGCAAGATCTGTCTCGGTCACACAAGCTGTTTTGGCAGCGAGAGTCCGAGACAACTATTATTGGGTAGAAGGGGGAATAACAGGGAGGGCCTCTTTTGGGGAGCCCTTAATCCATTTCCTTATCCTAATAGATGTTCTGACAAATGAATCATTGCCACATCACACACTGCTTTATCTTCACCAGAAAATGTGGCCGTGGGAATCCCTGAGAAAAATGGCTGTGTCAATGCCACTGTCGATTTTGGACCAAAAAATTAGCCAAATTTTGTGAAGCTCAGAGGAGTTAGATCGAATACTCTAAAAGTTAAAACGCTGTGGAGGAATGAAAAGAAAAAGAGAATGAGCAAGAAGCCTCCAACGTTGTAACATAAATACCAAGCATGCAATGCAAATCATCAATCTCGAGGTTGAATATAGAGAGGGGAAACATGAAGACTTGGAAATTACCCACGTAAATAGAATCCATATTTGCTCAAGAAACAAGAAGTTGATTAACAAAAATACTAGATATCTCAAGACAAAATCCAGAGAAAGCAAAAGGAGAACAATTCATTGTCTATTTGTCTGAAGACTAAAAACCAATTCACTCTAGCCACTAGAACTCCTCTTGATAAGAACTCAGATGTATCCCCATTATGCATTTGCATTTTCCACATCATCTAAAAGGAGGGCTTTTGTTGGCTTTCCCAATAGATCCCAATACTCCTGGAAAGGAGACTTGCTAAAGCGGGTTTCCCTCCAAAAGTCAGGTGTCAAGAAGCCATAAGTTTTCAAGAGGCAATCAAAAGTGGCCTGCATTCAAATTACAAGAGAAACAGATTATCCAGTTATCCCAAATAAATGTATCAACCATATTTTCAAGTTAAGACATATCTTACAGCAAATAGAAAGCGGCCTGGCAGAAGAGCAAGAATTAAAGAAAATCATTTTTAAGAATTGCCAAGCCAGAAATATGTCAGTCAAGCAACATTTCATAAAAAGATTAACACATAAAACCAACAAGAACAGACTAATTTGGACTTTGGAGTCGATAAAAGAAAGCAACAAACACGTTCAAGATTGCTCCAACCAAACTTCAGACAAAGTGAGTGCATATAATCAGAAACAGGTTAAATTAATGAAACAATGAAAAGTATTGAATCTCCAATTAAACAGTCCAACTGCTTTATGGTAAGGAAGAAAATGACATCATTTCAGAAATGATTGGCAAATGCCCTATTATAGCATCTAGAAGCCACAACTGTGTTATTACCAACAACCAAAGATATTCTGCTGGGCAATACCTCACTACAATTAAATACTATTGCAAAATTTAAAACCACCCCATCACCAATATTTCACATTTGTAACTAACAATCCTCTGTAAAGGCATCATACAAAGACATACATAGAACTACTAAACTAATCAAACAGGGAGGTGAATTCCATATTTCCATTACACAACATAGGTGGTATATATATGCATGCTTAAGATCAAAACTTTCAATACAATAAACTCCGTAGAACTGCGTCAAAATTGCTACTATGGATTTAAAAACAAAACAATAACTAAGCACTGCATAACCTTCCATTAGCAAAGCAATAAAGCGACATACCTTCACAAAGTTACCAAGAGTCTTGGTGGAACCCCTGGAGGAGGTGAAGACATCCTCAATCCCAGCAAACTGCAGCACCTTCTTGGGCACTCTGGCAGCCACAATCCCAGCACCTCTTGGAGCGGGCACCATCCTCACTGTCACTGACCCACACTTACCAGTAACCTTGCAGGGCACTGTATGAGGCTTTCCGATCTTGTTACCCCAGTAACCTCTCCTCACGGGGATGATAGACAATTTCGCCAAGATAATCGCCCCACGAATAGCAGTGGCGACTTCTTTGCTGCACTTCACTCCCAGACCGACGTGACCGTTGCCGTCACCCACCACAACAAACGCCTTGAAGCGCGTGCGCTGTCCGGCGCGGGTCTGTTTTTGGACAGGGGTGATCTTCATAACCTCATCCTTCAAGGAGGGACCGACAAGGAGATCGACGATTTGATGTTCCTTGATTGGGAGGGAGTGGAGGTAGATTTGCTCCAAAGAAGTGATTTTTCCAGCTTTGACCAAACGCCCGAGCTTAGTTACGGGTACCCATTTTTCCTCCTCTTCTTTGCGTCCGCGACGACGACCTCGACCACGGTCCGACCTGCCGCCACCACCACCAAAACCCCGGCGGAACGCACCTCGCTCTCCTCCTCTCTCTGCCATTTTGAGAAGTTCCAAGAGATATCTGCGGTGTTTTCTTCGGCTGAGGCAATGGAGAAGAAGAATGGAGAAGCGGCGGGTGTAGGATTATATACTCCTCGGAAGAGGAGATTAGGGTTTTGTTGGGGGTAGGGGTGGTGTTGATGGATCTGAGCCTGGGTTTAAAACCCCAATAGCTATCATTGGACTTGGCCCATGAAAATTGGTGTAGATAACTAGATATCTTGATCCATTTTTCAGAAACTGGGCCTTATTTACAAGGCCTGTTTAGAAGCCTTATTGGGCTTGGTGAGACTCAATGTTATCTTTTTGGGCCAAGCCTAATGCTATCTTTAAAGATTTTTAAACTTTTGTTTTTTATTTTTCTAACTTGTGAATACAAGTTTAAAAGTATATTAATTATATATTTTTTAGCTGATTTACATAACAAATAAGAATTCATTTTAAATTTATTAATTACTCAACTGAAATTATTCAAGACTTTCAAGTGATATTGGTGTTAAAAATAATATTTGCTTTCATATTTTACTATAAAAATTTATTATAAAAAATACAATTAATGCTCTCTTATAACACAAGTTAGAAATATCCCTTTTTTTTCTCTTCATTGTTCTCAAAAGAAAATGGGAAAATTAGGTTATTATTAACATAATGAATGTATTAAATTTAAGACTTATTTTATGTCTTATATATTTAATAATTGTGATTTAATCTCAAGATATCTTAATTTTTTCTTGTTTTGGTCTCAAAGTTTAAATTTAAGACTTCTACAAACTTTTGTCCTTGGGGAAACACCTCTTAAGACTTTAAACTTGCATTGGTGAGTGAACAGTTTACAGGTTTTGGAATCAAAAGTTTCCAAAAATGACATTATAATAAAGGTGAATATGTATAAAATATATCAATTTAGATTTAAATTTCAGGTACCACTTTGATTTAGAGAAGACAATAGCATACTATCTCACCATAAGCAACATTTTTGTCAGTAGTTTTTACATTATTTAACAAACACTATTGACCTGAGGGTCATTCTTTTTTAAGAAAAAAAATTAATTAAAAGAAGTTTTAAGGTTATAAAGTTATTTCTTTAGACTGACTGACATGAATCGGACAGAGTAAATATTTTTAATCTATACTTGCTGTCAAGAAGTGATGAGTTCCAATATACTTTAATTACTTTATAACGTTAAATTTCTCCTAATACTAGCTAATCAAGGGGGACAAGGTTTAAACCGACCTAGTCTAGCATTTGTTAAAAGTTTAAACTTTTAAGATTCACTAAGTAGGCTTTAAACATCCCATCACAGCTTTCTTTTATTGCCACAACTCCCAAATCTACCGCTCTAAGTACAGAGATATGTATAGATTCAGTTTTTAATTAAATATAAAGGCAAATTGTTCTTTGTAACTAATTGAGTTAGACAAATAATTTCAAATTTCATAATTGACATTACATGTTATTAAGTTTTTGTTACTGTTAGTGCAAATAAAACAGACACATAAGTAAAAAAGTAATAAAAAGTTAATATCATGCGATATTAGTATTAAATTTAAAGTTATTTATCTAATGTAGTTAGTTGAAGTGATAATTAGGTCTTATATATAGTTGAAGGGTGGTCCATTCTTACCCTCAACTAGAGGGCAAATTTGAAAGTTTTCCTTTCTTTTAATATTTCTCAAAAATATCAAGTTTAAGTTTTTATTTTAGATAAATTGAATATAAGGTATTTGAAAAATGAAAAGAACATGTTGTATATATATATATATATATTTTTTATCAGTAAAAGATAATATTATTAAATTGAAGTACAATGGGTATATTTATTCATATAAAAAAATTATAAAATTAGGATGATACTATTAATACATTCATGCAAAAATTTACCTCAAAATATAGATCATCCAAACAGAACATGTTGTATATGTTATTACCAAATATACTTTCTTCACGTGAAACTTAAGATTGGATATTTTTAATCGTTTGGATTTAGTGGTTCTTTATACAAATTTTTGTGTTGATTAATTATTATGCAATTTGATAGTATTATATGAGTTGGGCAATGAAATTCTAGTTGCTTAAAAAAATGGGGTTGATAACATTTGTTTTTTGGAAGATGGATAGGGAAGTGGTGGTCCTCAGCTTTGATTAGTTAGATTCAAAAACAAGAAGCATATGGGAATGGGGTGTGCATGTCTTCCTCTCTGTCCCTCTTGAAAGTAAAAGGCATTAATGACTTTTGTGGCAAAGCTTCTATGCGTTTCTTTGAAAATGATGAAACTAAAGAACCCAAACAAAAACCCAGACAGAATCAACCATTGGCATCCTCTCTCTTTCCCTCTTATAGAGGAGAGGAAGAAAGAAAGGAGAGGACTCAGGAACCACAGTGCCAGTGTGTTGGAAACATAGTTTGCAGTAATAAAGTTAATTAAATATATACTATTGAAACAATCACGTCACCTTTTACGGCACTCCCTTCCTAGCATAGCCACTAGTTTCAAAACTTATTTGTGTTACACTTAATTGCATGCAACAATGTCCACCACACTACCAAACAATGAGTATGCATTTTGTTGCGGCATGCCAATAATTTAAATAATATAATGATAATTTTTTTAATAAAAATAAAAAATTTTAAATTTAAATTA